TGGTATTCAGGCAGGTGAAAGATTGCTGTTGGTAGTGGGCTTCAGTGAAAATAAGAAATGGGAGCAACAAGTACTGAACAAAGTTGGATTATTCATACCTCCTACCAAAACCAACTAACAATACTGCGAGGACAATACTCTTCCCTTGTTGAATTGAAGTTTTGAAACAGGTGTATGTAAATCTTTATTTTCATCTCCTAATTTCAGTTCAGTTGTTCTATTAAAGGATCTTTCCTAGAGTTTCAGCACAAACTAGATGAGACTAACTGCTTTGTTTCACCTCAGCACCTGCTTTTCTTGGGAGTTGAAGTGTAAAGTAAGTGGTTCATAGGTCGTCCTTGTCTAAACAATTGAGTAACAAGGGAAAGTATGTTTTAAGAACTTTAAGTAAATAGAACATGATAGCTTAAATCTTTTTCTTAAATTTCTAGCACAGGAAGTTTTAGATAACCTGAAGGATCGGTGGTATCAAGCTGACAACCCGCCTCCTGATCTGTTGTTGAATGAAGAAGAATTCTTGTCCTTTCTTCATCCAGAACATAGCAGGGGAATGCTGAAATTCATGGTGAAAGAAATCATCCGAGATTTGGGTATGCTATTTTAAAACACATTTCTTAGGAGTTGTTTACTTGCAAACTATTTTATTGGGTAGATGTTGTTAGGTCACTGCTCTGTCATGGGTTAATCTGAAATTTTGGCACATCTTGTTTCCTCTCTTCTACACATTTTCTAATGTGATGAGTAAGAAAAACAAACTGTTAGCTAAAATGCTGACATCTCTATGGAGTTGTTTGTGTATTTCTCAAGACTAAATTTAGCCTCTGGTTGTTAAGGAGCAGCGCAACATTATATGTTAGAAAGGTATTCTGAGTATTTCATACAAAGATCATCAGCTGACACTATTTCACCCAGGTGGTGCTGCATTGTAGGGTCACTATAGCAATAGTAGAAAAGGTTTGATTAATAGTAAAATACTATAAAATATATTGATATGTATGTTCTGTCAGGAGGGCGTTAATTGCTTTGTACTTTCCCAGTACACAACCATGTGGCGTACAGTCATGAATGTGGAAATAAATGGTTGAAGTTTCTAAGAAAATTATTATTTTTTTTTAAATTCATAATTATTGGCACACATGAGTTTTTGGTTTTTTTTATATTGAGTCAAGTGTGTTGCATATTTAAAACTGCTAGAACATCTGAATTTAAAAAAAAAAGAGATATGAAGAGCTATGACTTTTCTGGTTGTTTGCTTAAGTAATATTATAAATATGAAGAGTTTTCAGTGAAAATTGAGTGTGACACACGCAGACAGAACAACTCCACTGTGCAGTGTTTTATGAGGGTTAATTTACCTGAGCGCTAATACAAGGAGAGACTGCATACAGCTGGAAGAAAATTTCTGTTGCAGTAGACTGTTGAATAAACAAACAATTAAAAAACAAAAAAAGCCCAGGTTGCCACCTAGTGTGTCCTTCAGGACCAGTAAAATTCTTTTTGTTTAGTATATTGATTAGTGTATGGTTTTTAGCCTTATAAAACATTGCATATGTGCAGAGAGTTTTTGGCTAACCAAAGGTATAAATGGTAAGTGTTCTTTCTGCTGGGTCAGGATTGTGCACTGCTGAAACCAGACAGACTGTAGGAATGACATCTCTGACATGAAGGAATTTCTCATTTTTAATGGGCACTAAGCAAATACTTTTCAGTTACTATGTATTTCTCTTGTAGATCAAGACGGAGATAAGAAACTTACCCTTTCAGAGTTCATTTCATTACCTGTGGGTACTGTAGAGAACCAGCAAGCTCAAGATATTGATGATGACTGGGTGAAAGACAGAAGGAAGGAATTTGAGGAGGTAATCGATGCTAACCATGATGGTATTGTCACAATGGAAGAGCTAGAGGTAAGTCTTCCTCAAGTAGTTAGTTCTAGTGTTTTTAAAACCAATAGTTGGTTTTTAAATACAGAATTGAAACTGCTTTAGAGAATGTGAGGTCCAAAAATATTTGAATTAACAGTACGGTGTGTGTGCCGCCTTTACAAAAGTTTGGATTATGGTGGTGTTCTACAGCGCTTGCAGATAGCGTTTTTAGGCTGTTTGTTAGAGGAGGGGGAGTTTTCCTAGCATAACTGTTATTCATAGGTATGCTTTTTTAGGGTTTTTTTGTCACATAGACACTTGTATGGATATGGAGTGCATGAAAGCAAGTCATAGACTCATAGGTGCGCTAGTTAATGGGACAATGAATCATACTTTCAGTTGCAAAAGGAGTAACCGGCAACCTATATATTCATTGAGAAAAAAAAAAAAAAGAAAAACAAAACCAAACCAAAAAAACCCAACGACCAACAAGCCCTGGGGCCCCAGTAGCCTAGAAAATAGCAGAGATCTCTTGTCTTTCAGAGTGTTTTTCTTTTTTTAAAAAAAACAGATTATTATTTGCAAGTGTGGATTCTGGTTTGTGGCCTTTTTGGACTTTGATTTGCAGAAGTAAGGCTTCCTTCTAATAATTCCGTCTGCAGAAGGGTCTACCGAACAACATGAAATATTTTGCACCCTGTAGTTGTGGCCTTTTGGTGGCCAATGGAGGAGGCTTGTGGCTCATTTCTGTCTTTTCTTCCTTTCTGTATGTTAGAATGTACTTTGACTAGCAGAATTCAAACTGAAGCATAGGCAGTGTGAAAGGAGAACCTCTAAAATGTTGGTCGTCTCCCTGAGAAAGGATGAATGCTAAAGTTCCTAACTTTCTCAGTATGCAAATATGTGGATATGAACGATAGTGGTAGTACAGGTAAACAGTTATATTGTGACACAGACAATGTTAATAGTCTTTTTACTGAGAATTTTCTTTTAGAAATAGCTGTTTTATCTGTGAAGTCTTTGTATATGTATACACACAGAGATGCACGCACATATATGTCACATTTTCTGGGAGGAAATTGAAGATAATCTTGAGTCTTCTATGTCATGAACTGAAGCGCGCTGCTTGAAAACTTAATCTATTTCAAGTTAGGTGAAGGAGCAAAATGCTTTGTTTCTGAGACTTCTGACCTTTGTAATGTCTGCCTGGTGGTTTAAAATGGAATAACAAAGTTCTAAATTGAACGTGTTCTAAAAAGATTATCTCCAGAAACAAGAAAATGTAGGTCATGCAGATTGACAGTGTGCCACTTTTTAATTTTGAGTTGGTATTTCTTCATAAAAACCACCAGATTTGATAGTGAGTTTAGTTTGCAACCAAAATGTCACAAATATTTTTATTGTAGACACTGGCATAAGCTGAGAAAATCTAGGTTTCTGTTAGAACAGGCACGGAAGCAATGAATGGAAAAATAGCTAGGAGGTAGATGTAAGCCTGTTAAAAAGATGTGCTAACACTTTTTTCCATGGCTTAAGTTCACTTTGGGATGGCTTATGTTGGTCTCATAATTGCTGAAGCTTACATAGAGCTAAAGTTCATAATTCTGATGTGTGGAAATGTGTGCTTAGTGATTGAAAATTATTTTCTGACTTGTTTTAGGAATATATGGATCCTATGAATGAATACAATGCCCTAAATGAAGCGAAGCAAATGATAGCGGTAGCAGATGAAAATCAAAACCATCACTTGGAGCTGGAGGAGATCCTGAAATACAGTGAATACTTCACCGGCAGCAAGCTTATGGACTATGCACGGAATGTCCATGAGGAGTTCTGATCCTGCTCAGTTTTCCAGAGCTCTGAAGCACTTTCTTGCTTTCAAAAAAGAAAAAAAAAAAAATCCAACTCCCAAACAGACAGAAAGTTACTTTGCTGCTATCTGTGTTCTATGCCTACAGTGTGTTGTCCTAGACTTAAAACAAACTTCCGTCCATACGTAAGATCTACAGTTCTGTTGCCTTTGGTATGAGGGGAAAAAAAAAAGTCCATGAATAATGGGGCAGGTACTGGACTACATCAGTTTGCCCTGGTTTGTACTGAAGTTTCAGCTGCTTTTGGCTAATGATGTTTGGTGGAGGCTTCTTAAATATTTAACTCTTCTTGTTGCCCTCATAGCTGCTGATCTATGGAAATCACAAATAACTCTGAAAGATGTTGGCTTTTGTAAAGGGGATTGTGGTTCAAATACGTGTGTTCTGACCTCGTGAGAATATCCATACTTAGGCTGATTGGCTAAACTTCTAGTATTTTTCTCAGTGCATCTCAACCTACTTACGTATTGTTGAGAATTTAATACAAGTTCTCACTCCATCTCTGAACTATCTTTAGAAGCTGTGGGGAAGAATTTATTTTAAATGTTACAGAGAAACTCTTCTGCATCTACTTTAAAAAAAAAACCTGTGTGACAGGTTTTGTGTTTGCAGCTGCACTGGGAATGTGAGCGGTTTGAGATTGCTTATGTCTTAAAAAATCAAGTTTTATTCTAAAATGAAACAATGGGGAAGGTTTCTTTGTGGTTTTAAAGGTGTTGGACAGAGCAGTGGGATTCATCTAGGTGTGTAATTATTACTGAACTAAAATTCCTGTTAAAAGTAGTATAATTACTTGCCTCTGTGCAAATTAATAATGCTGATGAACTCATGAATAATGAAGCTGGGGGAAATACAGGCTTTGCTTTTGAACTGCTTTTGCCAGAGCAATGTACATTCAGCATTTGGAAAGCTTTTTAATCAGTCTGGTTTTGGGTAATCTCTGAAAGCATCTTGCAACACAAGGGTCATATCCACTACTGTCTAAAATAGAAAATTTATTTTTACTCTGGTTCCATCTTTGCTGTAAAAACCCCTCTTTCCGAAGGGTTGTCTGAAAATCCAAGTGAGATGTTATATTTGATTAAATTTATTCTCTTAATATAATGTAAATATAAGTATTGCTGTCCGTTTCTGTTTAAGTATTCCCTCTGGGTTGTGTGTTTGTGGGTTTTGTTTTTGTTGTGTGTTTTTGTTTTTTTTTTTTTTTTTTTTTTTTTGTTAAATGGCTTGTATCAGAGTCTTTTTATATACATATACCTTTTTTCATTAAATATTTTTCTCCGTGCTTTGGAAATGTTGCTGTTTTTAGGCTTGTCAGTGAGTAAGAAAAACCGAAACTCTTCAGAGGACAGACAAAATACGCTTTAGAAAGAACTGTAAGACAGGGATAAATTCAGTTGATAATCTCATGTTAAAATGAGCTTAGACCACCTGCTGCGTTTGTCAGCCCCTGCTACCTTCCACCCCTCTACCAATGCCCCACGTGTACTTGATTGCAGGGTGGTGAGGTTTTAATACGACTAGAATCTGGAGATGTTCAAAACAAAATCCTGTGTCTAAAAAGGTGGTGCTTAGCAGAAGTCATAGGTATGGCTGGTTTAGATTAATTGGCAAGTATCTAGGCTTTACTTTGCTGTTTTAACTAAGGCTTCATAAATACGCAATGACCTGCACTTCAAACTAACACAAAATTATACATGTAAGCATACAGTTCTGCAATGTGGTTGTTTGCAGTCTAGTTAAGACAGAAGTTTTAGCAATATTAGTTGATAATTCTCTAAAGGTCCTGACTGCATTCTTGTATTACACTCTAGTTGTTTGCACAGATCAATTATTTAGATGTAATTTGAGCGGACAAGTTGTATCTTGTCACAACCTGGTGCTCAGAAAGCAAGCGCTGGTTTGCAGAGGGATTCCTGAGCAACTGAAATATGGTGATGAAATTTGGAACTTTATCTGTCACCAGAGGTGAAGATTATGCATACTCAGTTTTATCTTCTGATAATGTGAGCATGGAATCCCTTTAAAATACAAGGTAAGAGTATTTAGCTAGCAATTGCGAAAATGTTGAAGTATGTACTGTTGTTGCAGTTATTTGCCACACACCTGATAAATCTGAAACTTGAGGAACCAATGTGAAAAATTCATTTTTAATGTATGCATGCAGTTGTGTACCCTAATGCGTTTTGTTTTTCTCTGCCAGGAATCAGGATCACATAACTAATGACTGTAAGGATAAAGTGGACTGCATGGTGAGATTTGGAGGTACCTGAGATTATTCCTGTCTTGGAATTTTAGAAGTTCAAACTATTCTAGTTTGTCTATTCTAATATTTTATATGCACTCAGTCTTTCTCAGTTTCTTGTCGGCCCTTTCCCATAGGGGAGCCCTTACTTGCCTGTAATCCGTAAGGAATCTAGTGACTTCTTTAAAGCCTTTTATTAAGCTCTAGTTTTGAGTTCCATGTTCTTTATGTTTTGGGTTTTTTTTCATGTACACAAACAATCCGCCTGCTGTTTATAGGACTTGCTATCTGAGTGCTACTCTCTTGTGGACAAAGGTTCATGTTTCTAGAATTCAAAACCTTGTATAGTATATCTAGGATAAGCATCTATAGTAAAAAATGATACATCTATATTAAATAAAATAGAGGGTCTTATTTCTGACCCATAGCATGGCTCAGCTCACCACTCTGAAGCTCTCCTCTCCTACTACAACCAGGCATCCAGGCTATTTTTTGGGAGCAGGCTGTGGCACATGTGATTCCCACGACAATGTAAAGCGGCATTTGAGAGAGGTTAATTTGCATTGGTGAAAATCCAGCCAAGGAGTGTGCTAGGTGCCAAATGCAGTGGTATAATTGCTGTCTTCTCTCCCTGTTCTATTCACTTGCAGAATGCGGCCACGTAAATGAATCTGGCAACACTTAAGGATGCCATACGTAAAAGTTGAATTCTCAAGATGGTATATGAAATTTGTGTGCTAACTGCTTTTATTAAATGAGCATTTAATTTGTATTAAAGTAACAAGGATATCAATGCTTCATCATCACTGTTCTGGTAATTTGGGTGTTTTCAGTTTAAATGTATATAGCAGATTTGTAACTTTACCTTGTTTGTGAACATCGTAAGAGTTTGCGTTTTCAGTTTCTTACTGAATAATAATTGACTTATTGAATAGGTAAAGTCTGCTACTGTTTGTGAAAGAGAATTGGGGGGAAAAAAAATCTGATTAAATAGTGCTGAGGGAATGACTGAGTCATGAGGCGTAAAGCCACTTAAATGGCATTGATACTACAGTGGGAAGAGATTTGCATATTTCCTGCATCCAGGTACTGACTGTGAAGGTAGTTGAAGTTCAGCTGATTTGGTTTACGTGCTCTGTCAGCTTTGCTCCCTTTTGGAAAGAATGGCTTTAAGGTATAAATACTTTTCCATAGCAGTTGTTTTCCAAAATGCTTAGAAAATAGGAGAAGTAGAAAAATAGTTACTGTTTTACCTCACTTCTGTCTCTCCTTCCACTCCTAAACAGTCTTACAGAAATTTAAGAAAGAAATGAAAAGCAGCAGCTCTGGGTAAAAAACATGCCATGGTGCTGATGTTCAGTCCTCCCAAATGCTGCAGGCTGATAGGATTCCAAATGTACTTCTGTTCCAATCAAATCTCCTTTGCATTTAGATGTAAATTGGCTGTAGAACTGCTTTGTCTGGGAAGACTGGCTAGGTTTTTTTAATTAACATAAACAAAACGTCTTTGACTACTGTAGGATGTCTTTACTTGGGCCTTGCATAAGATTTAGTCAAATCTCTTCGAACTGGAAGACCTGAAATTTAGATCCTAGATCAATAAGATCGAATTAGTAAAATTCTGATTAGTAAGCCCGGAAAGTTAAACCCACTAATTCCTAGTGTGATTGCTTTTTCCTCTACGTGCTTGTGTTAGATGAGGGCAAGCCTGCGATGCCAGTGTGCTATTCAGCCTCCTCCATTGCTGTCCCGTTGTTGCATAGCTGGATGGTGAAGCCTTCTGGGGGTTTGGATTCCAGAGTTAACATGCTTCTGTAGAACAAAATAGGCATCAAAAATGGCTGGTATGTGAATATTACATCCTTTGCTTTCACAGAGCGCACGTCTGCTGGAAGCTTTTATTTCCGTGGGAGCAAATGGCCAGGGGTAACACAAAGTCTCTGTTTTGGAGTCAGGAGCTTGCTTTTCTTCAATGGCAATGCAGGGAGTCTGATATTAAGAGTTGAAATGGAGACTGCAAATGCTTCTCATCTGTAGCTTTTGCTAGCTCCTGAGGGCAGTATCAAGATGACTGATGATTTGTGATTCCGCACTCCCCCTGAGAAATGTATTAACAACATTCTTTTTTTATGCAGCAATAAAAGTCACGGGTCTACCGTTGCCGTGAGACCAAGGGGAGAGAATCTGTTTGTACTGCGCCTTTTAAGGAGCAAGCCTATGTGGGCTATGTTTCATTTTACCTACGGGTCTCACCCGTAAAGGTTTTCAGATGTTACCTCTGTATTGCTTTAATACTCCTCTTTACAATAACAAGGATCATCTCTTCTAGTTCTGGCATTCAAAGGCCTGTGCTTTCATACCGTGTCGAGAGGTATGTACCTGGCTGGAGGCACTCTATTTTAAGGCTATGAAAATAAATCTTTTTGTAACACTATTCAGTAGGCTGTCTTTCTGCCTATGAATAATTTAGTTGTGAACTGCAAAAAACAGGTTTGTAGGGTGTGGGAAAAAAGATGGGGGCGTGGAGCACATGCTGGGAATTTCCCAGCAACTGACCTATGAATTTGCTCTGGTCACCAGCAGTTTAGAATCAGTTCTCCAAGAGTTTGCCGCTATCAGAATTTTGCTGGGACAGTAGGGCTGCAATATGGTAGCTGTAGGTTTTTATTCGTGTTTTTCTACTATTTTGTTCTTGCTGCTGGCCGTCACCATTAGCCATTGCTTGGAACTGAAATGCAAAGAACATCAATATCGTTTTGGAGAAAAGTGCTGCAAGGACTGTGCCCCTGGTAAGTAATTTTCACTGGATGTTGCTTGATGCAATATCTGTTAGTTAATAACCTACAGGTGGTAGAAAACAGCTTGATGGAAATGCAAATCAAATATAGGAAGCATAACATGGAAAAAAGCATTTTATGAGGAGACTTTTATATCAGTCTAGACTGACAAAGATTATTTCTCTAACATACTAAACTTAGGAATCCTCTTCTTTGAAAGAGATGCATATTCTTTAATTTCTATGCCTCAGCTTCCTTAATGTGTAATGTGTATTTTCATTGTGGGAGTATTAGCTGAGAAAAGGTGGTAGTATTCACGTTACTGTCCCTTACCTATCACATAAAGAAGCTCAGAAATATTGCATAATGATGGCGAACTTTAGGTATTAATTCTGTTGCTGAAGATGTTTTTTCAAGCTTTCTTTTGTAGCAAGGTTTATACTATTTAAGACTTGGTGTTTTTCTAAGGAAAAAGATACACTTGATTCATAGACAGAGATTAGCAAAGCTAGCGTGACAGAAAATGTACTTGTTTCCTCCTTTCTCGTAGAAACTGAAAGAGTCTGAATTCTGGGTTTTGCATGCATATGTGTGATTTTTTTTTTCCACAATCTTGAGTATCTCTGAAGGCAGTGCATTATTGAAGAGCACAAATGCAAAATATCAAACCTCAAATACTTTAATAGTTGGGATTTCATTATCGAAATGACTTAATGATGAAGAGTAACAACAATTAACGGGTAATATAGCTGTTCAAAGGGCAGTCCCCTTAACAGAAGGGGTTATTGTTAGTACAGCCAATATTGACTACGCCTAGAGGGAGTGTAGATCATGTCTGTTAATGCAGTTGCAACTTAAAATCTCGCCTATGGTTTTATGTGCATCTTTCAGAATAGTTCTCTTTTTGTAATGAAGTCTACTACACAAAATGGATGTGCTACGCAGTAGTAGTATATTCAGAAATGCCAACTGGAATAAATTCAACCTTAAATCTCAGATTTAAGGTTATTTATTTAATCTCGGCTGGGTGGCCGAGCCCAGAGAGTGGTGGTGAATGGAACTAAATCCAGTTGGCAGCCGGTCACAAGCGGTGTCCCCCAGGGCTCAGTCCTAGGGCCAGTCTTGTTTAATATCTTTATCAATGACCTGGATGAGGGGATTGAGTGTGCCCTCAGCAAATTTGCAGACGACACCAAACTGGGTGGCAGTGTTGATCTGCTTGAGGGGAGGAGGGCTCTGCAGAGAGACCTGGACAGGCTGGATCGATGGGCCGAGGCCAACTGCATGAGGTTCAACAAGGCCAAGTGCCGGGTCCTGCACTTTGGTCACAAGAACCCCATGCAGCGCTACAGGCTTGGG